CCCCTTGACCCCGCCGGGGTCATACGTAATTCGCATAACGGCCCCCCCCCCCCCCTTTTCAAAATCCTGGCTACGTCCCTGCCTCTGGCACTTACAAACCTAAATTTTATTATCAAAATATTAGAAGTCTTAAAAATAAATTAGAAACATATCACACTCGGAATTAAATGCGCATCTTTTAAACCGCACGTTCCACTTCGTTGGATTTACTGAGACGTGGTTAAACTCAAGAATGTTTGACTCAGAACTTCACTGCCCAAGCTTCACTATTTACAGAAAAGATAGAGATGATGGCAGAAGAGGAGGTGGTGTTTTGCTCCTTGCATCGAATCAATATAAATCCCGGCGCTTGACACATCTTGAAACTTGAAATTATCTGGGTTAAAATTAAATTAAGTAAGACTAAGCATTTTGCTAGTTGCAGTTATTTACAGCCCGCCAACTAACGCCGTGACAATCAAGGTTCCACATGGGCGCGCTTAATCCAAGTAATCTTATTAATACTAATAATGTCCATCTTTTCTAAAGTTTTAGGTTTGTTGGTTTAGTAGGGCCTCGACTTCCCGATTAGGCCTAAACATAAATGACCTGCATATACGATGTTTATGTAGACGCACTGCGAAATACGAATACACCGCGTCAAGATTTAAAATCCGCCTTGGTTATTTGTAGAAATGCAAATGAGGCGACACAATTTCCTCCACATATGCAATGCCACATTTTTTTTTATTACGAAATGGGTACGGAACCTATATAAAGATGAAGACTTGACAGTTGTAACATACCAATTGTAAATTAATAAGAAGACATTATTATAGGTCATTAAATTTGAATAACGTCGAATAATCGGATTACTGTAGTAAAATGGGTTTCATTATTTCAAAGTTAGGAAATATGTTATTGAATTCGTTACTGTAACTTGAACGACGTGAAGGAAACGAATGCGTAAACAATTACCATTACCATTTTACCATTTTGTTATAATTGTATTTATAATAATCATATTCACATTCTAAATTCTTGATAAATTTCATATTAGGCCCTATTGACATATTAATACAGTGTACCTAGACAACAAAAGCCTTCCGTGAAAATCTAACGGTTCACCTGGCGGTTGATCAAAGGAATCTTCTTCAATACAAATATCACCTATTTTGTCTTAAATTTTAGGCTGTTATTATTTAGGGCTTTGACCTTTGATTATCCCTAAATATAAATGACCTGCATATTGAGGATACTTTTGTAGACGCACTGCGAAACACGATTTCTAACCGCGTCAGATTTAAAATCCACCTAGGTTATTTATAGATATGCAAATGAGGCGACATAATTTTCTCCACGTATTCAATACCACATCATATTACACAACTGGGTACCTATATAAACGTGAAGACTTGACAGTTGTGACATACCAATCGTAAATTCCAGAAGAAGATATTGGACAAATTTGAATAACGTCGAATAATCGGATTTATTGTATCAGAATGGGTTTGATTATTTCAAAGTTAGGAAATATGTTATTGAATACGTTTAAGGATGGTCCTTGTCGCATTCTTATGCTTGGTTTAGACGCAGCTGGTGAGATTTTATTATTATTTTATGTAATTTTTATTTTTTTTCTTATGTAGACCTATTAGAAATAATTAGTTTATACTCGGCTGTTGGATTAATAGATTCCAGCGTGACCACTCACAATTTTGATATACCCAATGACTGGGTCGAAATTACCCAAGACTCAGCAAATATTGCCCAAAATTACCCAAGCTTCCTGAAAATGCATTAAATTTGAAAAAAATGTGTTTTTCGCATGTATAGTTTCCCTTTTAGTTCAATTTATAAACCATTTTTTGTTGTAATTGTTTGTGTTAATTATTAAAATTAATATTCATGAGGTGATAATACAGATAGGTAGTGTTGTCAGTAGATCAGTGATCAAGTTTTATTATGTAATGCATTAATTAGGTAAGATCAATGGCAACGCAAATCACAAATAAACAATTCTGAACCCATGTTTATAGCAATTAACAGTCAATTAACAATCTTATGTGCATTTAGTTGAGTTTTGCTTACTTGAATGGACTGACATATAGTTTGTTACTTCTTAATTCTTCCTCTATGACAAAAATATTTAATTTTCTTAGTAAAAAATAAAATACCCAAGGATTTGAACGGAATACCCAAGAACCCAAGACCAAGTCAAAATACCCAAGATATTGGGTAAATACCCAAGCAGTGGTCACACTCATAGATTCTGTTCTTGTATGGGCGGCCGTTAGGGCCAATTTACTCTACTGCCAATATTAGATTTTTTTTTGTATGGACGGCCGTTAGCGCTAATATGCTCTATTACCTCTCTTGACAGATTTATTTTTGTATGAGCGACCTTTAGGGCCAATATACTCTACTGGCTTTATTAATAGATTCTTTTTTCTGTATGGGTGGTCGTTAGGGCCAATATACTCTACTGCCTCTATTAATAGATTCTTTTTTTTGTATAGGTGGGTTAGGGCCAATATACTCTACTGCCCCTATTAATAGATTCTTTTTTTGAAAAATTCTAAAAATAATTGAATATGCCTATATGGTAAGAATAATGTATGTTACCATAATGTATAATAGACCATCTATAGTAGTGTCCACAGTGGTCAAACATAATGATATTGTTCGCAATTGTGTATTCATTATGACGTTATTACAACTTTTTGTTTATAGTGTACAATTATAAATATCAATATGTTGGAACAGAATTTCGATTTTTTTTTTTACACGAAGATCAAATATCATGTACTTATGATAGTGCTCACTGCTTATTGGATATAAACATGCCTACAGCCACCTAATCTGGCGATACCATAGGCCTATATGTTATTGGCATATTCAGAATAAAACAATTTTTACAACCAATACATTTGTGGTATTTTTCATTTACTGTTAAACGGGCTTACACGTGCCAAAATGTTATTTCATCTCTTAATAAGTAGTTATACAGGCTCGGTGAGATACGAGCCTGTTTATGTTATATTTTATGCGTGTCTTCATATGATAATATGAGTCTATTTGATTTTGATTTATACTGAATATTTATTTTTAATGTTTATATATTAGATATTTGGTAACATTTCCCCTTCTGCGATTCAGGCAAAACAACAATACTGTACAGACTGAAACTAAATGAAACTGTAACAACGATTCCTACGACTGGTGTCAACGTAGAGGAGGTGTCCCCAAACAGGAATGTGAAATTTACAATATTGGACGTTGGTGAGTCCAGACCCTAATGGTAAAAAAATGCGTGGGTTTACATTCTTATTAAGCATTAATTTTCATAGAAAAAATAGTATTACAGCAAATATAAATGTATGCCTTCTGAACAATTGGACACAAAAAAAAATTTCTGTGCGTTACAAATGACCATTTCGTATTTTTTCCTCAAAACATGATTTTTAAATCTCGGTAAGTATTGGGCTTCATGCAATAAGTTGTATTAAAGCAAATATAAATGTTTACAGTATGTTCTAATCAATTTGACACCAATATTATTTCAATAGACCAAAGCGTTACAGAGATATGCCAATTTTATGGTTTTCAATATAAAAAAAAAACCATAAAAATTGAGCTCGAAGGTCGCAAGGGTCAAATCAGATTTTCAGTAACTTGGTTGGGATATCCCCACATCATGCACTATCACCATGAAAAGGTGCAATTTGTTATCCGCTACTGTAACATCGTTTCATTTTAGGGACTGCAGTCAAGTATCATTACATTTGGAGGCACTACTTCCAGGGCACAGAAGGTTAGCAGTTCAAACTTTTAATACCGTATACAAACTTAAATTTGCTCATTTTTTTCCGTTGCCTTACATTTTACCTGCAAAATAATAATTATGTTTTTGTTTGGCCTACATTATGTCGTCCCATAGGCCTACTCTCTGAAATGTTCTTTAAAATATTGCGCAGTAGGACTATGTAGTATAGGTTTACTCGGGACCTAAAATAGGGGTTGTTTGTCATTTCCTGCGCGGTGACCATGGTCATGGATGAATAATGTTTGTCTCTGTGTGCATTCGGCCAAAAATGAGTTACTGTACATGTAACTGTAAATTCTTGATCATTGCAAATCGAAAAACAATAAAAAAAAAAAAAAAACACAAAATATAATTACCTAAAACCAATGCAAAATAGCTATAAAAGAGTATATCTAGTTTCTCAATTGAATTATCATTATAATAATTCTTGAATTACGGATTTATTTGTTTTCACAAATGCAAAATCTCACCATCAATGAACAAATTGTGCAAATTTAAGAAAAGCGTTATTAGGATTTTGTATTTTAAAATAAATCACATATACAAACTTGTTAATTTTCCTTTGCACTTCGTCACTTCAATATATTTTTCAGTTGAGTTGGTTGGTTTGATGATGTGCGCCACCTCTGATTATTATGGACGTTACACTAGAACCCCTATAAGGGAACACCTTCGGGACCAAAAAAAGTATCCCCTTAAGATGTGTCCGCTGAATAGGAGTTGGCCGTAATCAAAAGATATTTCCCTCGATTCATGGTCAAAAAGGTGTTCCCATAGGGTGTTTCCTTAATAGGGGTGTCCCAAAGGAGAGGTTCCACTGTAGCGTGTTTCCTCGTCTAGCCCAAGCCCACCTCTCCTCCTCTAAATATTTGCTGAGCAAAACGGTATAGGCCTAACATTCAAGTGGTTAAAAATCACCTTGTATTACGTCATTCCCCACCCCATATACCTGTCCATCTTTATCATCCCCTTTCCGTCGGACTGTTTGCGGTAATTTTATGATGTAAGGTTATTTACAAAGAATTGTTCTTTTAACAGTATTTTCCATATCGTCTAAACAAAAATATTGTATTTATTTCAGGACTGATTTTCGTTGTGGATAGTGCTGACAGTACCCGGTTTGAGGAGGCTAGAGAAGCACTGTTTGACATTCTCGAAAGCCGAGAAATGACTAGAGGTGTGCCGGTCTGCGTCATCGCAAACAAGCAGGACCTGCCTGGTGAGCAGTCAATTCTTCTTCTCGTATCCACCTTGTGATGGTGGTAGAATCGGTATTTACCAGGGCCGAGACTCTTTTACCTTGCACTGCTTTATTCATATAATATTAATAACATAATTATTTTGTTATCAACTCACAGTAATTGTCGTGCCATTAATCGGAGCACAACTATTTGTCCTAGTTTCATTTGTTATTCAACAACTTACCACTCGTGTTATCATGTTGTCATATTGAATTGAATTCCAATAGAATTGCTATATGTCGCTGATTTATCATCATCATTGTTTATTATCATCACCATTGTTTATGGAGTAGAGAACCCCAGAATCCTGGGTTCGCTTCCTAGTCTCAACTAAAATCAGCTAAAATATATCTGTTGTTGGTTTGATGCGATAGAAATTTAAAAAAATAATTATCATCAAATCATCATCGTTGTCTTCATCATCACCACTATCGTCTTTATCATCATCATCATCATCATCATCATCATCATCATCATCATCATCATCATCATCATAATCATCATCATCATCACCACCACTATCATTTATCAATATGTATTGTTATCGTTATCATCATTGTTAATAGTTTCAATACTCATTAATTACATCATTAATATGAAATTTTGATAATAGGTCCTGCTTGTTTGTGTCATGTTGTTATCAACAGTGATTTTTTTAGATTATTAACAGTTAGATTTTGTCATTTTTGTACATAACTCATCCTTAACTTATATTTACAGGTGCGCTCTCGCCATCGAGATTGGGAGATGCTCTTTCCCTCAACAAATTGCACGGAAACCCATGGCACATACAAGCAGCTCAGGCAACGACCGGTGAGGGGCTCTACGAAGCTGTGGATGAACTGGCAAGAATGATCAAGAAAAATAAAACAAAGCGTTGATTATCTAAATTATTTTTACTAAAAGAATTATCGACCAAATTTAGATCGTTTAAAAACACTGCGACCTATACATGAAAGAAAAAAAGAAACTGTTATGTATTTCAATAAGTAATTAAATTTAAACTGTAAATAGATATAAAAAAATATTCTCGTTAATTAGCGAAATTTCAAATAATAATATGAGCTTTGCTGCTAGAAAATTTAAGGAGTAAATAATTGATAAATGATGTATTGCTTTGATTTGTGACTTACTGAAAACTAATGATTTGTGGTTCTTTTTAACGAGCAATTCTAGATTATTTTTTATTATCTCTTTCTTTTTTCTATATTATTGTATTTCTTATGTTAAGTTAATTAGAATTGATATTATTTAAAGTTGAAAAATCATACTGTGTAGTTAAATGTGATTACTCAGGTCCTACAATTCAATTTAATAAACATTTATTTTGTACTCTCATAAAAACAACAGAAGTAACCAAGGATTACACATAAGAAAACAATTTCTGTCGGTGAGTACTCCTTATAAAAAAAAAAACCATGCAATTATCAAAAACAGTAAAAAAAAAAAAAAAACCTATTGGTTGATCAACAAATACATTGCTAATAATCAACCTCACATGTACATATAAATATTATAGTAGATTTTTTAATATTATATATATATATATATATTGTATGGTTGTATGGAGTTATATTGTGTGGAACATTTGTGGACAACGGTATATTTTTCGATCAATCGATTATTCGATTGGTCTTTCACAGCCTGTTTTATTCCATAATCGTTTGTATTTCCTTACCTGTTTTAATTTTTCTAATATTTTGCAATGTTTTCGGAATTACATGGCCATCCCACTGCTGGTCAGTTTGTAGGCCTCGTTATAAGCTAAATACTAATACATTCCTTATCATCCTGATTGAGATAGATTTAGTTTCGAAGTTGAGGTTCAGAATGCACTGTTAGATATTCATTATTAAATGTTAGTTCAGATGAACAAAAAATGCCAACTGGTTTAATCTAAATTTAGTTTAGATTATACTATTTCTCAGCTGCAAATATGTTTTACAATAATCGAATAAAGAATGATATTTGAAAATAAATCATTAAATAGTGTTTGCTAATCCAACACCAGGTAATGATTATTGTGTAACTGTACATTATATAAAACTCGATCAAACACAAAGTTGTTGTTGTGGTCCGGAGCAGCAGTAGTTTGGTTGCCAACATTCGCCGAAGTAACCCAAAGTCGATGACTGAAAGTGTGGTTTGTTTAAATACAAACAGAGAAACAGGTTTTCATTCGCTATGGGTGTTTGTACTGTATTGAAAATATAAGCAAAAAAAAACTTCTGTTGCGTTGTTTGACCACTTTTGTTGCGTTCTACGTTTGATCATAAGTATATAACTATCACCACATTTGTTTTTTAAGAACTTATTTTTAACCAATTACGTCATTATGTTACTTAAAAATGTTAATTCATACAGACTCATAATGTATATAAATATACTGTATATAAATACGGTGCAATCCAATTCTGTAATAATACAGGCCCGAAAAAATATATAATTATTACAATCACTTGGAGAAAAAATATATCGTAGTCCGCAATGGCTCCTTTTAAACTGTTGCAGGTTTTTGGTGGTCGCTGGTGTTGGTGGTCGCTCCATGGTTTAGGATGGTCAAAGCATGGACTAACCATAGGTCCAGTGTACATAAACTAAATCATGAGCACTTGAATTAAAGAACGCAGGATACAGAGGGGGTGTTCTAGTCCTGTCCCTGCTGTGGACTGGGTCGCACCTGACTCGAACTCTGCTATTTGTCGCACCTGACTCGAGCCCTTCTAGGCCTATTTTGTTTGCAATTGTACCTAGTTAATGGAGTAGTAATAATACTTTAAGTCCGATTGGCTGCAAACTTGGCAGATGGGGCGCAACCAGAGTAATTTGAGGGGAGTGTACCTGGGTCTCAGTTACTCTGTAATCATAATAAAATAAGGGTGGTATTTCATATACCATATTTTCCCATTACCGACCATTTACTGCTACTATAATCGGGATATATAAAAAAAAATCTTGTTGGGCGGTGGGGTGGTCAGGTCCTCCACCCCCACCTTTTGGTGCGCCCCTGAATACTCTTTATGAGGTCTAAAAGTCATGCAAACCGTTGATGTGATGGTGACGAAAATGTTGTCTGAATTGCGGATCGATGCATCATCACCAGTGGATTACGTGTATAGATACGATCAGACTAAAAAGCTTTAACATTAAAATGTGATGATAAAATGTGATTACCACAAGACGGAGCACATCAATGCATGCCGACAGAAAACAAAGTTGACACGAAAAGCACATTTAACAAATTCAGCTAAAGTCTGCATTGGTGACTAAACAACTGTCATCAATAATAACATTTGAAATGTTTCAGTTATGAGTCGCTATGGTTTCGTTAACACTTTCGGTGTTTTTAAGATCAATATCTTCAGTGAGTTGAAAATAACTATTCGATATGCAATACGCGCAGGGGAAATAAAATGGGGAGGGGCTAAATTGGGGGATGAGGCCTATGTGTGATGGAGCTCAGTTAACGTGGCCTTAGAATGAAGGGATGTGTTGACACGGTACTACTAAAGTGTATTTTTTTGCTCGGAAAACTTTCAGCGTTGAGGGGGCGCAAATTCCTGGAAGACCACTCTTCCTTTTATACGCCATACATTTTATACACGGTACATCTTTATGCTCACATTAATACACATTTCGTTAAGTTTAGACCTAAGTCATCGTTTAGTTTGGCGAGGAGGTGAATGAGATTTCAATTTCATTCTGAATCTTCAGCAATGGTGCGTTGCGTAAAGGTCAACTCAGACAGCGTCGGCCGACGCAGCCCGACCCGATTTATCGTCGGGGACAGTCTTAAGCCGTCGTGAGAAATATTAAACACGTTTAATATTCTACTACGCGACTGCCCCCGACGCACACCGTCGCGTCTGCGTTTAACTCACACAGACCCGACGCGACAACAAATCGCGTCGGGCTGCGTCGGCCGACGCTGTCTGAGTTGACCTTAACGAAGAGGTCTGATGCCCCAACTGAGGCTTTTTCTAGCCCTCATACTTGGAGGGTTGGTTCACTGGGTAGAATGGAGTCCAGTGCATTGTCATATGCATTGTTCTTTTCCGTTGATAAAATGCACCATGTATTATCTACATCTATGCATAGTGTGTCCAACGCACGTTCAGCATCTGGTCTTACTACTGGTACCAATAGCCTACTATTATGATTTGCTTCACTGTATACGCCTATTGCTTTACATGGCTATTAATATGTTAATCATACCGAACATAATACCAAATACCACCTGTAGTGTATTTACTACAATATTATTTTTATGTTTTATGCAATAAACTATTCTGTCTCGTGGAGTCCAATATCTGTTGTAGCCTACGTCGTTATGTTATTCTCACCACACACTGTTTTACATAACAATAGCCTATATATTTTCTTTATTTTAGGCCTATATATTTATGAACACACGTGGACTCTGTTTTTTTATTATATATATATATATATATATATATATATATGTATGTATGTATATAACATCATGTTTCTATATATTTGAGCAAACTGAGTACCTACGCTAAAATACGATGGATTTGTATGCTACGGGGTTTCCATTACAAACATAACGGAAACGATTTGCTGGTTCATATTGTTCACGTACCTGCGATAAAATTACAAAATACAATATTATCAAAAGTAAGATACCAGCAATCTTTTTTGCAGATATAAAAGCTTGATGAGATTATTTTCTCAGACCATCCCTAACGGCCTGAAATTGCAATTGGAAATGATCGATGAAGAATGAATGGCTCTCTGAGGTCAAATACACACGTTACCGGTTCGCTTCCGTCTGACTCTCGTCGTATTCACCGTGTCGTAATTATCTGTATTTAATCTACATACAAGAAGAGCCGTTAGTGAACATTTTAACTATTATTTCTTCTGTTTTTTGAGCTGTCACACCATGTCTAAGGTAGACTTATCCGGTAATTACGTTTTAGACAAAAGTGAAAATTTCGACGCGTTTTTAAAAGCGTTGAATGTAGGCCTTGTCCATCGCACAATGGCTTGCAAAGTAAAGCCAACCGTAGAGATAGTACAAAAGGGAGACGAATTTGTGATCAAAACTTGTACGTCGTTGAGAAGCCAACAACAAATATTCCGAGTCGGCGAAGAATTCAAATCGAATATTACGTGGAGTGATAAAGATACCAAGGTACGTGCATATTGGGAGGGGGACAAGTTGGTGATTTCCCCCGTGGAAGAGGACAAGAACCTACCGATTTTAACAAGGGAGATACAAGACGGAAGATTGATTTTAACTCAACAGATCGGAAATGTTGTAGCTAAACGCTATTTTGTAAGTTGCTAGTTTTTCTACTCATCTGCGCTTGAGAACCAAAGGAAGATGATAAATGTCTATTTTTTAACACTACGTATTACTAGTAGGCCTACTAGACAGGGCATACTTCAGAAGTTTCTACCGCGGTATTTTTACATTGATGCCAAAGTAGGCCAAGGAATTTGTTTGAAATAGGGACAGCAAATTAGCAGTACTGTAGCACTACACTATACCACCGAATTACTAAATATGTAGGCCTACAGTACTATACAACTTATATATGCACTTGATCTATATAGCACGATATGACGTCACTGCAGGGATTGATCACTCAGGGAGTCATGAAAGCGAAGTCGTTTATATTATTACCGCGATCTTTCATAATAAGAGTACAGTACTTTCAAAAGGCTCTGATGGGATTTCAATTGTCTTCCAGGGACCATGCACAATGTGTTTTGTCGGTTGGTGGTGCAGACGCTTTTGTTAATATTCGAATTTCGATGTATTTTTAAAAACTGCCTATTTTAAAATGTTCACATTCCTGCATTTGCTGGTAAAATTATTTGCAAAAAAGAAATTAATAACTTTAGAATATGATTTTCTCTATAGGCCTATTTCTCTATTATTTGAATTACGGTACGAAAATAGTATAATACTAATTTGTAATGTAAAATAGTTACATTTGATCTCGAAGTATATATCTGTTTTTTTGTGTGTTTTTTAGGCAGTAAATATATGTTGGATTCAGGGCTTTCTATCATGCCATATTTTATCTGAAAATAATAAATATATATTTTGTTTTAGCGATTATTATATTAATAGACAAAGATGTTATTGTAAATTAAGAACTTACTGTATTTAAAATTTGAATGGGCTTTTTTGAACTGTTTATGTTGGAGTTGTAGCTTGGTGGTTAAGAATCTAGCCTTCCAATCAAACCTGAAAATCCTGGGTTCAAATCATGTGACTGTCGGATGTTTTTCACGATTAAGAACAACGCCAAAAACACCACCGAAGATCCATCGTAATTAACGGGCGTTGTATGGTGTAAATTATTAAGATTTGTATCAGGGTGGTGTTTACATTAGGTTGTCTCAATGTAATTATGTTTTTAGTTATGTAGTGGTGCTTTATTATAAATACAGTTTTAAATGTTCTCCACCTAGCAACCAACACGATACATCAGTGCCTGTGTAGTTCTAACTTTCTGACGTCCAAGGCGTCAGGACGGAGTAGGCATATGGCTACTCGATAAACCAGAAAAGAAACATAATGTATACTCTTAATGAGGCTTAGATAAGCCTAATTGGTAATTGAGGCTGAGTTTTTATGATGGATTTTGACTTCTGTGAAGCCACCTTTCAGAATTTTTACAATTTGAAAAAAAATGTACTGTGTTAGGATAACGGATTTAGGGCTAAGATGTCTTATCATTATACCATTAACATTATGTTGTTTATTGATAATAAATTGATATAAAATAATTATCACCATAATGTGGTGTTTCTGTTTCTTTTTTTCTTTTTTTTTTCTTTTTACTTCACTATCTTTTTAAAGCAGCATTTTGTACCAAATCTGCACACTCCGAAACTGTACAGCGCCCCCACCAGCAAGACAATCAAAATTTTATATTCATTGGATATCGCTTTTTATCAGCGGCACACGTTAGATCTGAAATATAAAAACAAATAACCAACTGGGTTTTTTAAATATAGGCCTATGCATTTTTAATAGCAGGAGCGGATCCAGGATTTTTCGTTATAGGATGGTTTGAATCAACACCGACGTGAAACCAATAAGTGCGTCCCCTCATGACGAGGTTGTGGTTGATAAACTACTATTTTGGTGGTAGTAGTAAAAGTGAAGTTTTAATTTAGACCAACTTACTCGGCTATTATATAAATTTATATCAGAGTCATAAAATACATGTTGATAAAATGTTAGGGAGCTAAAGCCTGTTAATTATCCCTCACCCTCTTCTAAATCCACTCTTGTGAAGAAGCTGAAAAGAAAATTACATTTGGTATATCAAGTTATGAATTACACGGAATAGAATTTACATAATTTTTAATGGTCTTATTAAAATTAAAACCTAGTAAGTACAAGTAGTTAATTTGGCAAATATCTTTCCGGGAGAGGGCGCTGGACCTTCCTGTCTGCTCATTCCTCTTGTTTGATTATTTTCCATTACAGTATGTCTGTATATGCTATCCGAAGAAAATAGTGATAAAATTAAATTTCAATTCAATTCATTTTATTCATCGTCAGATCAAATCAATTTGCAATTGAAATTTATTTAAGTGTTAAAAATAGGATTAAAGATGAAAAGGACATTCATGAAACTCAAATGAGCTTGTAAAATTAAACAAAGAAAACATAAGCTGTATGAAAGTTTTAGTCATTAGCAGGCTTTTCAGCACAAAAGTGTATTTCAACAAGAAAATCTTATTTCCGACAGTCTCTTGAATATTAAAAAAAATTGGGTGTGGGGGGGGGGGGAGGTGGAGATGGAAAAAGGCTCTTTGTTCCTCCAGTTTTTAAATAGGCCTATTCAAAAATCTGTATCTCATTAGCCGTTCCAAAGGTTTTCGTCAAACACCTTTTTTTGGAAAAAGAAATCAGTTGTACAACATATCATTTTTCCCCCTCCGTAACCTGGCATTAAAGTATGTCCGTGAACTTATCACAGTAACAAGCATATGAATATATTGCGAATAAGAAATAAAAAAAACATGGAGTGCCTCTTAGAAATAACGTATTCCCATGCACTTCAGTATCATATTCTCATTAGGAGTGCTTTTATAAAAAATGACTAAAATCCGATTACAAGTTCAGATTTCTTTGATGATTCATTGGAGAACAGTGTAAACAACATTTCATCATTCTTGAATTAAGATTAAGATGTTATGTGGCGAACACGGAAAACCTATTATTGATTATTGATTAAAAGCTATTATTAATTAAGTAAGGATCTATTTTGTATTTCAGCTACTCTTGAGGGAAATTCCAATATGCCTATTACGAGCCGCTCAATGTACATAGTTTTAGGATATTGTGTGCTCTAGTTTCAAAATTGGTTTCCAATCGCTAACACTTTGACGCGATTCAATATCGTGTCAGAAAGAGCTCTGAAAGTCCATTATTTTCACGATAGTGACAATGGCGATAGTAAGACAAATACTCTCTTCAAAACCGTGCAGGCCTATAGGCCTATTAAGTATTCCTATGGAGGCTGGGATTTAGGATCGGGTCAACGCATCCTGCGGATTCAGTTTTATTAGCTTTTTATGCTCCATGGCATGAATTCAAACTTAATTACGTCACTTTTATTTTTTCTGTTCAGTTTTGTTGTTGTTTCTATTGTATTTCAGAAAGAAATGAAATGAAATATAATAATAATTAGATACAATGTGTCTTATAGTACACAAGATATGATGACGACAACAATACTCCATCGGTATAACAGACCTCTCTGTAACTTTTAGGCCGCTTATGCGTTATAAGATGATGAAATTTTAATCAACAGTGCGGCAACATCAAAGAATTGTAAATCTATGAAACGACATGAAACATTTCGAAGCAGAAACATATTAAATCTATTTAGTATGACCCTTAACTCACGGATTATGCCCTCTGCCAAATATCAGAAAATTGTTGTTTCGAAGACAACACTCAGACAATTGGCGTTCATATCTTGAGAAGCATATTGTATGTAAAGTGCGTTTTCTTTTTAAATAGATACTCCATGGGACGTACAAGGTCAAAATGTCATTTACCAAGATAAAAATCATCTAATAGAATAATTATCGTAAGCGGATAATCATCTTATGATTGATGGATAATTTGAGGAGTAGTATTCTTGTCAGTCACTCTTGACCACTAAGCCTTTTATCGAGAATATAAATCGCAATTTCTTGACATGATTACCTTTCGCTTAATCGCTTTAAGAATTTCCGGTTATTAAATTTTTGCAACACCTAAATGCACACAGCCACATTAAAACGACCAAACACCCATAATGCTTTGCAAATCTTGTAATTGTAGCTGTCTTGGCCGTGTTATAATTTATGGTAAATAGGGCAGCTAATCCGACGACCAGTACACAGTGTTCCAGAAACAACAAATTAAACGATATAAGATCGACAACTAGGCTAAGCCAGCTGGCCAACTCGTGAGCAGATCCACCATAGAACAGACCCCAGGGGACTGGCTCGAGAAGGTGCTTCATTAATGCAATTAGTTACAGTTAAAGAATTTCAATTGTTAACGGTCCTAATCCATATAGCTTAGTTTAAGTATATAACGTTTTCATATTTCGTCTTGGCGAATAACAATTTTTAACAGTAACGACAAATTTTGTTTATTATAACGGTGACTTTTATGTAAATTAACTTTTATACAATTCATTCGTTTAATCCTGAAAGTAGAAGGAAGTAGTATATATATACTGTCTCTTATACACATCTAGATGTGTATAAGAGACAGCATATACATACAGTATATCAATGGCTTACTGTATTTACCTTTCTTTGATGATTTATATATGATTTAACAGTGTTAACGGCTACCTTGATTTATATTATATGCACCTATTTGTTTCTAGCCGTAACCATTGTGTAATAGAGTGTATCTGGTGGTATTTGAATCTGTTCAACTAGACTCCGTGGTCTAGTGGTTATGACACTCGCCTTGACAGCGAGAGGTCGCAGGTTCGAGTCCCGCCAGAGGCATTTTATTACACAATTTCTTTATTCATTTATTTACAGGACTACATTCGTTGAGAGCTATGCTACACGATATAAGGTTAAAAACATCTTTTAACTTAAGTTTAATACCCGGTAGGTCTTTTCATGTATTACAAAAAAATGAAGTCGAAAATACCCGTTATAATACAATTCAGGTGGTTTATGAATACACTATAATTTAATATCAGACTGAGTTAAAGTGCTTTCAAAAGGTACGCAACTGAAAAACAAAACGGAATATATAAAAAAAAATTACAAGAATGTAAAACCAAATCGTTTGGAGAAAATTGGTTTCAGGCACATTGTCTTTTATAACGCCACCCTCTCTGTCCCGACATGTAGTCGCCCTACCAACTACAGTTTTCAATTTCAAAGACCGTCAGAAGATGTATCATCAAAATTCCTCGACGGTAATGCCGTAGCCAGGATTTTGAAAACAGTGTGGACCCACTTTAAGCGTAAATTCAAATAATGTGGACCCATTATCTTAAAAGTTGACCCATTTTACGTAAAGTATGAGAAATCTGGACCCATTTTTTTTTTTTTTTACATTTTTTTTTAAAAACAGGACTCATTTTGTGCTAAAACAGCATAATTTAGACCCATTTTTTAAAATTTGCACCCATTCTTTGTGGACCCAATAGAAATATTGTGTGTAACTGTCCCAACTGTTCCAATAGCTGGCCACGACAATGCTCGGCGGGGAGTAGGAAAGCTCAAAACTATGGCCCTCTCCTGAACCCACTGATGCACTGAGTTGACACACAATCAGCGTGTTCTCAGTCTAGGACAGAATGTAAGATGTGTGAGTCAGGCGCGGAGTCAGGCGCGGATCCAGACCTTCGCACCGTTCGCCATGGCAAATGTCAATGTGAGAGATACAAATAAAAAATGAAAAAGGTGATTGCAACTTAAATCTTAAATAAGCATGTTGTCGGTTACTGAGAGTTTACTTTTTGTAAATATTAAAGTGTTCCTGCGAAGACGGATATGCTGGTTTTATTGATATCCCCACCCCCACCATCTCGACATTGTTTGCCAGAATAAAATGCTCCTGACCGTTATTTTTAAAAATATACCGACTATAGTAATTCCGAGTTTTTGATCGTAGGTGTTACATCAGAGAACAGCAGGTCTATTTAAGTGATTGTAAACATTGACTTCCACCAGACATGATATAATAATATATTTAATTTTCTTTTCGGATTGATATCTAACAATGATTATATTGATATGCTGATACTGAGCTGAATATATCCATTATTCTAAGCTAATAAACCAACATGTTCAAAGTTTTTTTTAATTAATTTTCTTAACTGCATGCAAAAAATCAATCTAAATTTTTTGATAATTTTATGTTTCTAATTAAACATTTTTTTCTTTGCTTATCCTTTTTAGAATATGCGTGTGGTATTTTATTCACTTAATAAAGTCAACCACATGGCTTTTTCATAGCATTTTGTTTAATAGTCTGGACAATATTAAATGCGATGATATTCGAAAAGCGAAATGCAATAGCATTATTTTGCTGTATATTCCAACCAGATGCTTGATAGGCATATGCTAAATAAATGAATGAATGAATCTATTTTAAAGTGTCCATGTCCCTTTATGTTAGATTTCCCCCACTTTACCCATTTGTTGTTGTTTTTTTGTTTTTTGGTATTTTTTTTTTTTTTTTTTTTTTTTTTTTTTTTTTTTTTTTTTTTTTTTTTTTTTTTTTTTTTTTTTTTGTTTTTTTTTTATTGTGA